TTGTATGTTAGGAAAGGAAAGCAGACAGGATAGCATGATATTTGAGGGCGGCTACAAACGCCTTCTACGTCTATGCTGCCGCAAATATCAGCTGACGCAGGAACTTGGACTGATTCGCCGGCACTTTACACCGGACTCGAAACGCCTGGTTTACGTCTACCCGATGACCGCTGTCAATCAAGTGAGCTAAAATCGCGCCTCTTATTGACTTTTTCTCGCCTCTGTTTAGCCAAGCAGAATGGTCTTCTCGCAAGCGCTTGGATAGCCGCCTAGTTGTTCGACCAATATAACCTGCCCCACAGGAGCATGTTAAGGTGTAGATACACATTGAAAGGTCTGGAACGGGAGTCTGTCCTTGCCTACGAGGCGAAGAAGTGGAGTGCTTGAAGATAATAGTCTTAACTTTGCCGCTGAATATGTACACGCGATTCCAGCGTTCGAGCGAAGCTGTAGAAGTTTGCTTGCTGGATCCTCTTGAAAAAGCAGTGTAAAAAATAAGGTTTGACGGACGTTCCTCTATAAATGTATTGATTAACTTCTCGGGAAAGCCATTTTCTCGCAGGGTCTGCGAGTTCGTTCTCCAGTGTGTCTGGAATGCATATTCTCCTAGCTCGGTTCGCGAAGCGGCAGATTAAGCCTCGTTTCTGACTTGGTAGTCCCCAATCAAGGCTAGAATGGGACCACTTTGCACCTCTCCCCTTTTCCCCCTAATTACTACTGATTGGTCGCTTAATCTTTTGATAATTCTACTCTCCCTTATATTATTGTATTTGCCTGATTGGGAATAAATGGAAAACGTTCGTTCGTCTAACTTGACTTCCTGAAGTAAATTCTTGTCCCAGTGATCGCATCTCTTTCCTTCGAGGGTAACTATCATGGAGTACGGCAAGCAAAATATCGTTGGCCAAATGAGTTGTCACGGAACACGTTCGGTTTATCTTTAAGGAGGAGAGCGCTCAGAGAACTCGGTTGTTGAATCGAACCATGTCAATGCACTCGCCTTAAAATTATATACATGAGTTACCTCTGTGAAGATTGATCTATTGAGCATCCGAAGAAAGCGTCACGCCAATAGGGAACCCCCGTATAAAATGACTTACAACTGACCCTTCAGATGGCATCCTGTTACTGTGTTGTCAAACTCCTGACAATAAGGCGCTCGGAAGTCCTTATTGCCCGCCCTTGCTCACCTTATTATTATGTAAGTCAACCGGCGGCTAGGAGTAACACGTAGTTTGGTCCACACACCAAAGTGAGACAGGCATCTTATTAAACAGAGCAGGATTTGTACTAAAAAGACAGGTGTCTGAGCATAAGGTGTTACTAAAAAATGTTTTCTAAATTAGCAGTCATAATTAAAACAAAAAACAATAATAGTAATCAGCTGAATCAGGTGCGCGATGGCTTCATCGTTAGGTCATTTAGTGCGTACGCCTCAGCTGGAAAAGAGGGTTCTTTGGCGAAGTCAGCCCTGTACAATCCAAACTTCTCACCGAAGCCACGTCGATTGGAGGATAATTTGACTGGTATTGGACAGACTGAGGTCGAGGGGCAAGGAGTGATGCTGCTAATTTTAGGAACAGTCCGACTACTGGGGGTCACCGCAGTCCTAGAGGCGCTGATTGAGGCCAGAGCGGCAGCCCAGGGCGGAGGTGGCGAAGTCGCCCTAAAAGATAGGTCCTTGGGTGAATTCAGAGCCATAGAAGAGAGACTAGGGGATCTGGGAGAAGTAGGAAGTGAATTTGGCGAGGAAGTTGACGGAGCAGGGACACTGGAGTCCGAGTGCCTGTGTTCCTTAGCCCTTTGGCGATCTCTCTGGACGGTTTTGGCCATTAATGCGTGAAGGGCGGCCGATGTAAGGCCTCGCTTACTTGGGGTCTAAAATACGATGGGTAAACGTAAATTAGGAAATGAACAGAAGGTGGCTTATGGGAAAAATCGGTACATGGGAATGGTAGAATCGCAACTGAGGCGATGCAGTACATGCACGTTTAATGTCAGCCTGCTAAACATTGACTATGGATGGACAAGGAAGAAGATCAGTTGGCTTATTGTCCTGCACTTTCGAACTCTTACAGGAGTCCATCTTCAGAAATGAGAAGAAGCAACCAAAAGGAGGGTAATTATAGTGGCCATAAGCCATATTAATTGTTTTTTCAAACGCTTTGACAATTTGATGACTTCTGACAGTTGATTGGCTGAGAAGCTATTTTGAGTTTTAAAAATGGGAAAAACTTATCTTTCGTGGTTTTACCTTAACCTCTAGAATACAGCATAGAGCAAATATACGATTGCACCAATTTGCAGATACTACTGGGCAGTTCTTGTTTCCTATTGGCTATAATTCTTATTCTAATTATCGCGTGCCAAACATTAGGTTTTTTTGAATAACCATTCTTATTATTATCTACTCTTATACGCTCCACGTTTTAATTATTTTTTCTTTCCTCTGATATCCCCCACCCATTTAACCCCGGTTACCACTGGTCCCGTATTCTGTTTGCTGTATTGAGCCCGAAACGGGACGGTTACCAAACTTTGTTTATCTAGTCAGAATGGCTCCATCTGGCGTACAAAACATCCTCACTGCTGTCTTCTGAAATATATCTTCTTGTTTTGAAGTTGAGACTGCTATAAAGCATTCAACATAACCGAAGAATCCATTCAAAGCGTTGAAAAAGACGACAATCCTATGGGGGAAAGGCAAATGATGAAAACTGAATAGTCCAAACATGTTGATTTCCCCTGGTAGTTGGTGGTGTGTGCGTTGGTGCATTGTCACGTGACAGACTTTGTCTGTCTCTGCCTATTGATCTTAGCTGTCTTAAAGCAAATATTTATGGCGTAAATGGGTAAGGATGACATATATGGCCTCCCAAACAGGACTAGAAACGCCCCGCCCGGGTAATAAAGATGGCCCTGCACATAACTCCTGAAAAAGTAAATATTCCCGTTTCCTTGTCCTTAAACTAACCATTACCGAAACTTTAACAGTAGGCCTGCTCTTTATCCTAACCTCACCCTTATACCCAACCCTACAGTTAACGCTAACCTTAACTTGAATTCTAAACGTACTTTAACATTAATCGCAGCCAATAACATCATACCTAACCTTTATCATAAACCTAACTCTTTTGCTCTGGAATTTGGCGCAAATAAACCTGTATTGGGGCGGTTCCTGTTCTCAGCTCCTGTTTAGGGAGTCCATGTATCTCATCCTTACCCATAATTATATTCTGTCCTGCTCACAACTACATTTTAATTAAATATCACCCAGATGTGCACACCGTGTTGAAGACTTTGTGCGACGATCAACTGATTCGGGATGCGAATCTCTGGCGCGCAGCCTTGCGTTGAAGTATAACTGACCGATGACGGTAATTAGACTGGAAATGGCCATTCAGCTGACTCGGTCCTTGTCAGGACTACGCAATTTCTTTTCGTTAGTCATCATGATATTGTCTAGGTGAGCTGTAGACCCTCAGCCTCGAGGCCAATCAGAATGGATCAGTGTACGCCAGTCCCATGTGATCGGTTTTACTTTACTAGGCCGACATTGACTGTTATCCAGAAAAGTCAGCTGTAGCGTGCTTGTAAGCTGTTTTCCTAGGTCAGATATAGGGCAGACCGTGATTAAAAACAATACCTCAGGGGAATTGATGTTTGAGCCTCGTGCACGTGCGGCCAGCGAGAGAAGTGTGGACGGGGAGGACACCCCGCTAGGAGCACCGGATTGTGAATCCCCCTCGGACGCGGCCGTCGCCTCTGGCTCCGCCTCTGACTGCAGGTCAGGAGAAAGGGCCGCATTGCGTTGTTGCCATTCATTGATGATCTCCAGAAC